ATCAATATATTTAATTTTTAATAACAGGAGACATTGTAATGTAAAAATATTATATTTAAAGTAATACCGATTTTTAAAAAACTAATTTTTATTTCGACATACATGCACATATTCATTTTAAAGATGATGGTATCGAACAATGATTCTGTGTGTATATTGATAAAATATATAAAATATACTTGATTATTTTATGAAATAATCAATTTTGTGTGATAGTAACAACGATTAATTTATTGCTCTACGGTAATTGTATTAGGTATTATTCTGCATTTTATCTGATTACCCTTTCATTTCTGATATTTTTCATATCCATGAACAAAACTGAATTATTTAAATATTATCAATAAATATTATATCAATTTCACGACTAATCGCGAGAAAGAAGAAGACGGAAGAACCTAAGAAGAAAGGGACCTAACATGGTCGGCCATCCGTGTCGATGTTGCAGGTATGGTTCCAGAATCGGCGCGCGAAGTTTCGCAAGCAGGAAAGACTGGCCCAGCAAAAGTCGACGTCGCAGAGCGGCATCGGGGTCGACAGCGGCGCGTCCAGTCCCGTGACCGGCACCGTCAAGGCGGAGGGACGCTCGCCGAGGAGTCCGGCGACGCCACCCGGTAGCTCGAACAGCGTCCTGTCGTCGAACGAGATCAAGCCGATCACCAACCAAAACCTGGTGAACGTGAAACACAGCGGGGACGGCACCGGCGACGGCGGCTCGCCCAACGCTCGCGGAAGCAGCGGCGGCGGCGGTACCTGGGGCTCCTGCAGTCCCAGGCCCTTCTCGGCGGCCTTGCCGCCCTACCTGCTGGACCCGTTGCCTCTCAAGACCGCGAATCTTTATTAAACCAGTCTCCCCATCGGCCCGGCCGTGTGTGTAAATACAAGAGAGTCGCTCGGCTCTCGCGAACACGCGGAAACGACACACCGTGTTCAGGGAGAGCGCCCAGGTCTTTTTCCTCCCGGGTCCCGGTTTCCCGCAAGCGAATCGATCGGCCATAGTCCAATCGTATACGCGCGGTATTCTTGAGTATTCAAAGGACCTCGATTAGGATGCGCCGCACATATTTTTGACAGAGATACCTTAGACAGTCGGGAAAACGGGAAACAGATGTGGATTGCTTGCTTTGAGGCAGCGTCTGTTAAGATACGTTTCGAGCTTTATACGCACGCGACAGAGCGTTATTCGGATGACGCGAATCGAGCTGTTAGAATCAAGGTTGAGGTAAATATCATTTAGTAAATTTTTATTATTATACGAAGAATGCTTAGAAGGAAGCCAATTGGATACTGTCTTTTAAATTTTTACTGGAAAAGAAATAATTTTTGACACATCAAATTTTAAGGAGTTAGAGTGTGCTATGCTTGTTTTGCATTCCTGTGATAAGTGTATAAATATTTGAGTAATATATTATTAACATATATATTTCCTTGATAATCTTTTGTATTATCTTAATTTACATATATGTTGGCGTATTTGTAGATAGTAGTGTACATTACATCATACATATGAAATATTATTTCTGTTGTATTGATACAGATGTTGTATTGTATTGATTGTGCCAAAGAGTAATTTCAAAAGGAGGTATAACTTGGGAAATGCTACTTTAAAGTATCGCTATCTAGTTCGAAATCGAGACTACTGATCCAAAATAATCGAAAGTGAAATGAATGGATTTAAACTCGTATCAGATTCAAATTTCGATTAATATCGAGAATAATAGAGTTGCAAAGCATCTATTTCAGATATAAATCTTAATGTTCCCGAGGAATAAGAGCGAAACAAGAGATTATAGAATATTAATTGTTAAATATATCTGACTTGTGCAAATGTAAACGACTCCATATTTTTGAAAATTTAATGAAATGCAAATAAAATTAATTTAAACGTAATACATTTTAAATTATAAATAAAGGATTAAGTAAAAGAAGACTTTCTTTATACACACACAATTTTTTTAATTCTATATCTGCTTAATTTATTATAAATAAATTATTTTTCCGGAAAAATCTCTAATGAAGCAATAAGTTTGAACGAAGTTAATCCACTCGCGATGTTAGATAGACAGCTATTGTCTTCATTAATTCAACTGTAAGATATAATCTGAAAATAATCTAAATATATTACGTCATTTTCATTTACTTACTCCTTTCGTTATAATTATATGTATAAGGAAGAAAACTGAGCTTTATATTCGAAGCGATGAAAACGCTATAGAGCATCACTATAATTCTCGAGGGACGTTAAACTCTCGTTTCTGGCATGTGCTTCTCATCTCTATTATTTTTCTTCGATAATGCCGAGGTAGAATTAACAAGAAACACAGCGTAGAATAGTATGTATAAAAATACTATTAATCACGCAGACATCACACACCGGATTTAACTGACACTTAATTTACCGAGATTAATTTGAATATTAAAAATTATAATCATGTCGCGAAAATCTGCTGCGATATTAATTATGTATCAAGTAGCAGAGAACACACTTATATTTCCATAGTAAAATCCTTGATACAAATATTGAGTGTACTTTGCGCTAATTTAATGCAATTCCAACGATTCTGTCGAATAGTTGATCGATTAAGCATTAGAACAGTGATCAATAGGCAGAAAAGGAAAAGAGCGAAATTTTACTTGGTGTCGAAATAAAAATGACTCTCGATATATGAAAACTCATTTTGCCAAATTAAAATAGAAATATTTCTGAAAATGAAATTAATTTCTATTAATCAATTCCAATCAATTTTAAATTAATTTTTGTTAATTTAGAATTGATTGAATTTATACAAATTAATCAAAATACTTTCACAAAATATTTTCCATTTACGTTCAAAATGTCTTCATCTATAAAAGGACTATCTGGAATCCGATAACCAAAGTCAAATCCAATTAAGATTTTGCCAGTTCGACTGACTATTAATTACATCAATTCTATATATATTGTTATTGCAGAACTTTTGTTGCAGCTGTGATTTGTTAATTGATCTTCAATTTGGTGAAAAAAAAAGTATAAATTTAAACTATATCAACTCTACAAAAAAAGAGAAAGTCTTATATCGAGAATCGCCGGGAAACGATAAATTCGCGTTAATTCGCAAATCGGCGGACAAATTCCTCCTTAGAATGTTCTTAAGATAAATACATACCGTCCTGTATGTCTCGTACCAAGAAGAGCGAGGGTACCTGTCTTATCACAATATACGATGGACAATTTCGGCGACGGTGTGACTCGTTTGTCGTGCGCCGATAACGAGCGCACCTTATTCTGCATATGTATAGTTTACGACTGAATCTATTTTATAGTGAGATGTATAAATGTACATTAGTTAAGACGAAGGTATGTATAGTTCACTCAAAAGTATTTTTCTTTTCTTTTATGAGACTTTCGTCAAATCCGCCTTAATCTTTAGAGGGCCAGTCGCCGTATCTTAATTATAGCAGAGAATGTCATTATTGATAATATTATAATTTAATTAAATATTTGAAATTGTTGTAATCGCGCTATCGCAATTTTTCATGAAAAATACTTGCTTGTACTTCAATATAATAATTTCACAAAGTATTAAAATCTCGATTGTGTAGCAGAAATTGATGTCGGATGTTTAATAAACAAGAATTCATTGCTAGAATCATTAAAGCGATTAAAAATCTAGAAATTATTGCAAAAAACGACGATATTTTGCAGAGAAAGGCGTTAGTCCTCTGAAGATTAACGGCAATAACGTACGGAAATTTCTATCGTGTCCCGAGGCAATCCATATCCCAGTTCGATAACGAATGTGATTTTTTAACGAGACACTTTTACAATACTGCGTATTACTGGCGCGTAGCGAGCTACACATTTTCACTCGTCTCCGGGAAAGACGCGGATTATCGATTACACGCGACGGCGACGAGAGGGGAAAGGCTCATCTCCGCAAGCCAGGAAGCGTTCGTGAACTCTGAACAGCTTCGTTGCTCCCGCCATTATTGTTAAGATTAACGAATGGTAATTATCGATATGTGTGAACCGGAACTTGTACAGTTGTTGCTATAAATATATAAAATTAGTGTTTTACACCATATTCATACTTACTCTCTCCGTTCAAATCACTCTGATAAATTTCATTAAAATGTTACATTTTATTCATTTCAGATAACATATATATATATAT